AACAACAACAACCTAGTGATAGTTATAAGCACACAAATTTGAAGGACATACATTAGGAATAAGATACTAAATATAATAAAGTGCAAGATAGTAAATATAATAAATAAAAATATACAAAATGGATGTCCAAAGAGACTCAGAAACTTGCTCTTGAGCATAGAGAAGCTAAAGCGAATGGAATAAATGAGGTAGTAAAAGAGCTGAACAAAAACTTGCAAAGCACAGCTCAAGATGACAAAGTATAACATTATGTTTAAGTGTGCAAAGACCTGGAGTTAGAAAGTAAAAATGGAAGAGAACACTCAGCATTTTTAAGCTGAAAGAACTGAAAAAAAAAAAAAAATTAAGGTCTGATTTGCAATGGTGAATGATTCTATGGGTAAAATATTGAATGATGCCAAAAGCATAAAAAGAAGATTGAATACATAGAGTGAGTTACTGTATGAAAAGAAATGATCCATGTCCAACCATTTCAAGACATAGCACACATCATCAAGAACCAACAGTACTGAGAGAACTCCAAGGTGCACTGAAGGCACTGACAACAACAACAAAAAAGCTCCAGGCATTGCTAGAATAGAAATCTTCCAACAAACTGATGCAGCACTTATCTATTCCATGAAATTTCGACGACAGCTATCTAGCCAAATGATTGGAAAAGATCCATATTTGTGCCCATTCTAAAGAAAGGTAACCCAATGGAATGTGGAAATCATTGGACAATATCATTAATATCACATTCAAATAAAATTTTACTGAAGATATTTCAAAACCGTTATAAAAGCACGTCAACAATGAACTAGCAAAAACTCAAGCCAGATTCAGAAGAGGATTCGAAACTAGGGTTATCCTTGCTGATGTTAGATAGATCTTGGTTGAAAGCAGAGAATACAGAAAGATGTTTACCTGTGCTTTATTGACAATGCAAAGGCTTTTGATGGTGTAGATCATGACAAATTACGCATACCATAACAAAGAATGGGTATTCCAGAACACTTCATTATACTCGTGAGGAACCTATACATAGACCAAAAGGCAGTTGTTAGAACAGATCAAGAGGATAATGAATAGTTTAAAATCAGGAAAGGTGTGTACCAATGTTGTATCCTCTTACCATACTTATTTAACTTATATGCTGAGCATATAATCTGAGTAGTCATATGATATGAAGAAGAATTTGGCTTCAGGATTGGAGGGAGACTCATTAACAACAAGGAGATATGCAGATGATATAACCTTGCTTGCTGGAAGTGAAGAGGACTTAAAATAC